TTGCTGCAAGCTCTGGAGACGGAGAGAGGCTGAGCTCTCACTACCAGCTGCTTCGTCCTTTCTCCTTAGCGTTTGGTCCAGGGGGCAAAGGATTGATTCCACTTGGGGTGCCCTGGACTCATGCACTTAAGCAATGCACCTGCTTCATGTCAGGCACTGTTCTAGACTTTGGGGCTAGAGCTATGGAGCCATCAAATGTCCCAGGGGACAGCAAACAGGATCAATAGATAAATAAGTAAAAGTATATCACGTGTTAGGTGACAAGTGCAGGGTTGAAAATGTCAGGCAAGGAAGGGAAGAGAAAATATTGGGGGCCAGGGAAGGCTCCACAGAGAAGGGAACTTTTGAGTAAAGACAAGAAGCAGGTGAGGACAGCTCTGTGGGGCTCCAGGGGAGAAGCATTCCAGGAAGAAGGAATAGCAGGGCGAAGGCTCTGGGATGGAAGCACCCCTGGTCAGTCGGCGGACAGCGGGGAGGCCCCTGTGGCTGCAGAGAGTGGGCGGAGAGGGAGACAGGATTAGGGAGGGAGAGGCATTGGGTCCTACCGCACTCTGGACAGCCGGAAGGACTTGGGCTTCTCTGAGTGAGCGGGAGCCCCCAGAGAGTCAGGAGAGGAGACTCCGGCTGCACCATGGGGAAGAAATGGCTGGAGTTTAATCAGGAAGCAATTGACCTGATTTCAGGGAGAAAGTGTGATTGCCTGGCCCATGGGGGAGATGGCAAGGGTCGATTGTGGGTGTTTATGTTGAGAGAGAGCAGCAGGCTTTGCAGGTGGATTGGATGCAGGAACTGAAAGATGGGAGGAACGGTGGCCAAGATGATTGCCCAATTACCCACAGGAAAGGGGAGCGGCTTCAGGAGGAGCTGGAGGGATGGTGACATCAGGGCTTGGCTGTGGCGTGGCACTTGAGGTCTATTCTACAGCCAAATGACATCAACAGATGTCAGCGTTGTACCAAGCCACACATCAAGGGATGTCAGGTCCGGATTGTACCAAGACAGTGATTGCCAAATTCTAGTCATTCCCTCACAATTTTCATCATATATCTGTGTGCCACTTGTGCTATTACTTACTTTTTAAAAATCAGCCGTAATTTTGTTTTTGTTTGTTTGTTATTTTAAAGGGGATTTCCACTACCCTAAAGGAAAAGCTGAGGTTACTTGCCCTATGTAGAAGAAAATCGGGCCACACAATTAATCTAAGGCAGTGTCAGCCTCTGCCTAGAGCACCAAGCGGCCTTTCACACCACTAGCATCCCTGGTGTTTAGTGATGTGACCCTGTGCCACCCCCACCTGGTGTGCCTGATGAAGTCACCACTGGGTGACCCTCTTCTGGGTCCCAAGAGACCATTCTGAGCTTAACTGAAGCCAGGAGTAATCCAAGTGCATGGGGACCTCACTGTACTTCCTCAGGACACTGTTACCCCGCCTGTGTGACTAGGACATTTCATGAACGTGAAACTCAGCACCCGCCTCTACTGGGTTTGAGTCTTCACTGCCTTCCCAGCCGCACAGCCTTAGCCAGTCATTCAACTCCCCAGGCTCGGTTCCCTCTTCTGTAAAATGGGCCATTGAGAGAATTGAGCCATGAATGTCTTCAGCCCAGCCATAAGCATTCAGCCAGTGATAGTCACCACTATTAATTACAATGATGACTGTTGGCATAGAAAACTGCCCTCTTCCCCAGGAAGCAGTTGGAATGTTCTCAATTCCTTAGAAAAATCAGGTTAGGCCAGCCTTGGTGGCTCATGCCTGTAATTCCAGCACTTTGGGAGGCCATGGTGGGCAGATCATGAAGTCAGATCAAGACCATCCAGGCCAATATGGTGAAACCCTATCTCTGCTAGAAATACAAAACATCAGCTGGGCGTGGTGGCATGTGCCTGTAATCATAGCTGCTTGGGAGGCTGAGCAGGAGAATCGCTTGAACCTGGGAGTCGGAGGTTGCAGTGAGCCGAGATTGCGCCACTGTACTCCAGCCTGATGACAGAGCGAGACTCCATCTCAATAAATAAATAATCAATCAGAAGGGTGCAACACCCAAACTTTCAGGGGTCAGGCAGGTAATGAGAGTGGGTGCAGGTGGTGTAAGACTGTAGGGAGTGCCGGGAAGTGCGGCAAACTGGAGAGCATGTATTCTGTGTGATGCTATTTAACGTCAATTTTTCAAAATCCACTCTACAAGACACCAGCAACACACAGAGAGATCTGTGGACACCAACTGGTTTGGACTCCTGAGGTGTGAAAACCCAAGAGTGTAAGATGATATTTTAGTTGTTAATTTAGCTGGTATCTGTTGAGCATATTATGTGTCAGGCACTATGCTAGGCAGTGAACAAAGTAGGCTGAGTCCTCCCCTTGCAGAGTGCTCTGGTGAAGGCAGCAACATACAAATAAGTGAAATCAAAATGACTCATGTTCAAGGACAGTAACTGCTGTGGAGAGACACGGAGCAGAAAAGCAGAGTGGAGAGTGCTAAGGGTCGGGGGAGGTAGTTTCACTACACGCCAGGGAAGACCTCTCCAAGAAGGTGGCATCTGATCAGTACCTTGAAGGAGGCAGAGGGAGCCCTGTGATCAGAGGGGTGAGAGCATCCCAGGCTGGGGATACGGCTAACACAGAGGCCACGGTGGCCATTGTGCAGTCCTGGACTTCAAGGGCACAACCTTGGTGCCTTGATTGGTGGTGAAAATTCCAAGTTGAAGGAGCTGATTGGTGAGCAGAGGGCCTTCCCCAGATTGCAGGAGGCTGCGGTGGGTCCGATGCTTGTTTTCCGATCTCTAGGGGGTTGCTAGGTGAGTGGGATCACAGCGATCACATGCCTGGTAGACCCTGTTTTGGTTTCCCACTGCTGTCCTAACAGATCACAAACTGGGTGGCTTAAAACACCAGAAATTGACTCTCAACAGTTCTGGAGGCCAGAAGTCCAAAATCAAGGTGTTAGCATGGCTGTGCTTCCTCAGAGGGCTCCAGGGGAGAACCTTGCCTCTTGCAGCCCTGGGGGACCCCAGGAGCTCCTTACTCCTTGGCTTGTATGTGCCTCCCTCCAGTCTCTGCTTTCCTTTGAATGTGGCCTTCCCCTCTGTGCCTGTGCGTCTTATCCACTTTGTCTCCTGTGTGGACACTTGTCACTTGATGTAGGGCCCACCGGGGAATCTGGAACAAATCTCATCTCAAGACCCTCAACTTAGTTACATCTGCAAAGACCCCCTGGATGTCTGTTTTTATGCTGCTGATAAAGACATACCTGAGACTATGTAATTTATAAAGAAAAAGAGGTTTAATGGACTCACAGTTCTACGTGGCTGGAGAGAATGAGAACCAAGCAAAAGGGGAAACCCTTTATAAAATCATAGATCTTATGAGACTTATTCACTACCAAGAGAACAGTATCGGGAGACCCACCCCTGTGATTCAATTGTCTCCCATCAGATCCCTCCCACAACACATAGGAGTTGTGGGAGCCACAATTCAAGATGAGATTTGGGTGGGGACACAGCCAAACCGTATCACCCTCTTTCTAAATATGGTCATGTTCACAGATTCCAGAAATTAGGACATGATCATATCTTGAGGGGATGGGGGCACCATTCAACCCACTGCACACCTTAAGAACTGCAAGGAAAAGGGGAAAAACCAGGGATGGCCATAGAAGGAAGAGAAAGGATTTCCATGGAATATTTCCATCAAATCACTAAGTAGGTACCAACCACAGCATACAACTGAGCATGTACCTTCACACCTATGTTGAGTACCCACTGTGTGTCACACACAGCAGCAATGCTGAGGATTCAGCGCTGAACAGAGCACACGGCCTTTGCCCTCTTGGGACCGTGGCCTGCACACAGTAGGGCCCCCATGTAGGTTCATTTGCTTCCTTCCTTCTTTCCTTTCTTCCTAAGTGCCTTGCTCTACTTACAGCTTAGTTGAGAAATAAGAGCAGGCATGGCCAGGTAAGGTGGTTCATGCCTATAATCCCAGCACTTTGGGGGGCAGAGGCAGGTGATCACTTGAGGTCACGAGTTTAAGACCAGCCTGGCCAACATGGTGAAACCCCGTCTCTACTAAAAATATAGAAATTATCTGGGTGTGGGGGCTACTCGGAAGGCTGAGACAAGAGAATAGCTTAAACCCGGGAGGCAGAGATTGCAGTGAGCCAAGATCACGCCACTGCACTCCAGCCTAGGCAACAGAGCAAGACTCTGTCTCAAAAAAAAAAAAGAAAGAAAGAAACAAGAACAGGCATGGCTGAAACCCTGAAGCCTAGGGTATGATCAGTACTCAGAGCTCTGAGGCCCCAGCAGCCAGAGTGGTCCCAGAGGCTACCTATGAGAGGTGTACTAGGCTGATAGGTTGGATTTGGGGTGAAGGGTAGTGGGTTCCAAGCTAGAAAAAAAAGTGGACAAGAGGCGAGCAGGGTTTGTAGCTAATGGCAGGACACCTGAGCCAGGGAGTACTCAGGGAGAAGGTTTGCCACCAGGTTGGCATGACCAGATTTCAATAAAAGCAAACAATTCTTGGGAAGATCCCAAAGAGAACAAAGTGTAATCTTCCCTCAGTTTACATGGTGGTTGGTTTCCAAAAGAAAAAAAAAATGTATATTAATACCCTGCGAAAACAAGGTTCTGTTTAAAATTTGTAAAACAGTTTGATTCCAGCCTCAGGTCATTTATAAACAGGTTTTTACCTGTCCTGCAGGCAGAGATGCAATTACAGTACAGGACAGTGACCCTATAGTCACTTATAGTCAGTTATAGTCGCCTTCAGCCCTAAACTCCAGACCTAGACCGCAGGAGTGTCCAGGCAGACTCGGGACCCAGGGTTCTCCCTGACTGCACAGGACTGCCCCACCGTGTAGCAGTGGACCCTGCCCCATCTGCCCCGTAGGTCTGCAGAATGTGCCCTCTCCAGGCCTAGGGATGCCACGTGCCGAGAGCCACCCGGTGCCAGTGCCCCCCCATCTCCCGCCCAGCGCCTCACTTCCGCCCTCGCCTTGCAGGTTCCATGCAGGTGATGAACAAGACCCGGCGCATCATGGAGCAGGGCGGGGCACACTTCATCAACGCCTTCGTGACCACACCCATGTGCTGCCCCTCGCGCTCCTCCATCCTCACGGGCAAGTACGTCCACAACCACAACACCTACACCAACAACGAGAACTGCTCCTCACCCTCCTGGCAGGCACAGCACGAGAGCCGCACCTTCGCTGTGTACCTCAACAACACCGGCTACCGGACAGGTGAGCAGGGTAGGGGGCGGGCACAGCAAGGGAGTGACAGCAGGGTCCTCGCCAGCGACCTCCTCTGGGTGTCCCTGGGTGGGGTTGGGCACCACTGCCGTACCCGAGATGATTCTGGAGAGCCCTTATAGCAACTCTCTCATAATTTCAAAGTTGTGCATTTATTTGTGTGTGTTAGAGAAATACATTTTTATTTGCTTACAGTAGTGATGTAAAGTGACCTTGTCAAAGGAATTTGAGTCCCCCAAAAAGTAAGTCTTTTCAAAATATGAATTACAGTGCAGAGAGGCCCCAAGCTGCCCATGCATGAGTTTGCATCCTCTGTTAATTGTTATTAAGCCCATCAGGGACTGTTTTGTTGACTATAAACCATCAACTTGGAAGAAGGTTCCAGAACATGGGGGTGGGGGATGGGAATTTGTGGAGAGGAACAGATACGGGTCTGTGTGGTTGCTGTCTACATGGAGGTAACCAGGGTGGTGCAGAAGCTGACGTGGTGGTTGACTGCCCACACTCATCCAGTAATTGTCATCCTGGGGGCAGGGCCCCCCAGTTCCTGTCGGCTTATCCTGCAGGAGGGCTCTGAAGGCTCACCTGCCAGGCTGGTTGTCTGAGGTACAGATGCAATTACAGTGTAGCCACTGACCTCCAGCACTATTGCAAAACCCTCCAGACTCAATTCATTTGACTTGCTTTCATTAAAAATAAATAAATACTCCCCACCTTGGGTAAGAAGCGGCAGCAGTTGTGAAATCAAATATTGTGGCTCAGATGTTGCAACCCCAGGAAGTTGTATCCAAGTGACAAGGGGTTTGTTTGGGTGGGAGTGCCTCAAGGGAAGGATGGATGCCTCCTTCAGCCCTGTTCACAGCCCTGAACCTACAGCCCTCAAGGCTGGACAGCTTCCCGTCAGATACACAGTGTGGGCTGGCAGGGACACAAGCCAGCAAGGTGTGTCTTCTTATGGCCTCATCCCACGGCCACAATCGCCTAGAAAGTACGTTTTGCTGAGAGCTAGGGATGCCTTATTCATATACCTTGTTCATGTATATCATGCGTGCCATCGTGCAGAACCAACCACCTGTTGGTTCCCCTGGGCCTCTGCAGAAAGCCACATGTGTCAGAGGTTATCGTGGCCACCACCGTAGGTGGTTGAGGGGCTGGATGTTGCTAGCAGAAGCAGGACAGGCAGGCCTGCAGTAGAGCAGTGAGCCCTTATTGAAGACACACCTGCAGCTTGGGTCCAGGAAGTACAGCCATGCATGCTCAAGAGTGGCCAACCTTGAAATATTTTAAAGTCTGAATATTTCACTGAAAATCTCACTATTTTTAAATATGCCAGCACAGCTTATTTTGTCTTTAATATATACTGGGAGCCAGAGAAAATATGCCTGAGGGGTGAGTGTGTGGCTCACAGACCCTTTTCACAACCTCTGGCTGAAAGGTCAGTACAGAAACCTTTCATTTCGGTTGCTGGAAGATTAGTAAAGACCCTAAACCTGTTCTTAGCACTCCACCTCATTTCACAGCCACTGTAGCCCAAAATAGAGATCTGCCCAGAATCAGAGTGAGGTGTTTGTGGCATAATAAAAATGGAATGCAAGATCATGGGAATTCAGAGGGGAGCGTGGAAATCATATTCATCAAATTGAAAGGAAACTCACATATTCTGTGACATATTGAGGGCTCAGAGTGGGAGCTAAAGGCAAGTGTTTCAAAATCTTACAGGCGACATGAGAAAACGAACCATCTCAACAGTAAATCTTCTCTGAAGTGAATTCCCCAAACTTGTCCTTGAATGTACACAAATCACCAAAAAGCTGTCTCCCTAAAGAAGTGCTTTTATTCAACTATGCTTCACTATTATACCCTCATGAAGACTGGGAGCATAATGTCAAGTGTAAAGAGCCAGACACAGATGACATTTACATTTTTGTAAAACCACCACTGAGAATTTTATTCATTATATTTAGAATGCCACTCTGTACAAGGAATCCCATTCCAACCTTACTTTCAGAACTCAGGACCCTGAAAACATCTGTTTAGTCTGTTGAACTGGTGTACACCTGGTTATTAAATAACAAGAGCCGCATACCCTGTGTTCTTTCCCTCTTTGCCCTGGCAGCTAGGAAGCTCAGGTTTGAGTTTTATATTAAGTTGTTGTTTAAAGTGGAAACATTTTAAAATCCAACTGCATTATATGTTATACTGATTAGTGTTGACTAAGAAAAATGACAAAAAACTATAATGAATTCAGAAACCTTTTAGATTTTTTTCTTTTAGATTGATCTGTACACACATATTAGAATGTATAGTAAATTTTTAATCCCCCAAGGACCAAAAGTAAATCATTCCTGCTGAGTCTTCAACCATGTTAAACCTTGTGTTCATGTGGCCACCTAGCAAAGCTGGATTTAAGTCTGGCTGTGTGTGTGAGAGAGACCCAGGATGTCAGCTGAAATTCCAAGTTGCTCTGGTAGCCCTGCTCTACAAAGTGGTCAGAGACTCAGACTTTATTTCTCCTTACTTCCCATTGGTGAGAAACAAGTTACATGGCCATGCATTGCTGCAAAGGGACCTGGGAAATGTAGTCTTATTCTGGGTGTACATATGCCCAGCTGAAAATTATTTTACTGTAGGAGAAGAAGAAAATGGATACTGAGGGACAAGGAAAGTCTTGGCCACCCTAACAGTTATTAGCCATTTTTATTTGTGATACCCGTTTGAATAGAGGAGGTCAGCCCAAAATGAGGAAGACTGACCTGAGAAAAATGCTACTTAAGTGGACCACCATTTCATTATAAATAATGCTTTTAATGTATTTAGTAAGGTATTTGATCTTGAAATGAAACTATAGTATTTCAAGAATAACTCTGTTATGCTATATCCGTTTTTTTTCTTTTTTTGAGACAGAGTCTCTCTGTCACCCAGGCTGGAGTGCAGTGGCACAATCTCAGCTTACTACAACCTCCGCCTCCTGGGTTCAAGCAATTCTTCTGTCTCAGCCTCCTGAATAGCTGGGATTACAGACGCCTTCCACTACGCCCAGCTAATTTTTGTAATTTTTGTAGAGATGGGGTTTTGCCATGTTGGCCAAGCTGGTCTTGAACTCTTGACCTCAGATGATCTACCTGCCTTGGCCTCCCAAAGTGCTGGGATTACAAGCATGAGCCACTGCACCTGGCCCTCTGTTAGGTTGCATCTAACGGTATTTAACAAAGATTGGGCTTTAGTCGTAACTAATGAGTTGATTTTCTTTTTTTTTTTTTTTTGAGATGGAGTTTTTTGCTCTTGTTGCCCAGGCTGGAGTGCAATGGAGCCATCTTGGCCCACTGCAACCTCCACCAGGTTCAAGCAATTCTCCTGTCTCAGCCTCCCAAGTAGCTGGGATTACAGGCATGTACCACCATGCCTGGCTAATTTTGTATTTTTAATAGAGGCAGGGTTTCTCTGTGTTGGTCAGGCTGGCCTTGAACTCCCCACCTCAGATGATCCGCCCACCTTGGTTTCCCAAAGTGCTGGGATTACAGGCATGAGCCACCATGCCTGGCCATGAGTTGATTCTTCAAGCAAGTGAACTGATCAAGTGTAGGGAGGAGTATGATATGTTTCACAAATTTAAATGGATAGCAAGATGATATCCTTGACTTCACCAGGGAAATTTTTGCAAAAGTATTAGAGGATTTGATCAGTTTTTCCAAGGGCCTCTCTTAATTCTTTGACATCTGAATCTTCCCCTGTGAAGTGCATGTCATACGTCATTATCCTTCTCAATAGTCTCTTCTCATTCATGTAGTATCTTTATGAGCCAGATAATTATTTGTCAGTGGATTTGTGTATGTTTTTTGAGCTATCTTCCAGCATCACTTTAATTAATTTCACAAACCCCGCATATTTTAAAAGATTTGCAACTTCATTTTGCAGTGATCTGGCTTTGCGTTGCCCCATGTTTGCAGTGGAAATTGACAAAGAACAAAGTGAGAGATGCTAAGTTGAAGCAGGATAAATATCAATTTGTTTATGAATATTTCTCTGTATGGCGTCTTACAACTTGGGGGACTTGGATCTCAGATATAAGTACCCTTGGAAGAGTAAATTGCATTCTCAGTTTTTTGGTTTTTTTTGAGACAGGGTCTCACTCTGTCGCCCAGGCTGGAGTGTAGTGGCACAATATAGGCTCACTCCAACCTCCACCTTTTAGGTTCGAGAGATTCTCCTGCTTCAGCCTCCTCAGTAGCTGGTATTACAGGTGCATGCCATCATCCCTGCTAATTTTTTTGTATTTTTAGTAGAGACGGGGTTTCACCATGTTGGCCAGGCTGGTCTTGAACTCCTGACCCCAAGCGATCCACCCGCCTTGGCCTCTCAAAGTGCTGGGATCACAGGTGTAAGCCACCATGCTCAGCTGCTCACCTGTATCCTTTGTTTAGGGAGCAAAAAATTCAATGTGTTTTTGAAACCAGCTGCAGTCAGGGTTCTTGTCCATTGGATCTAAAGGCAATCTATTGCCATGAGCATCACACATCTTCAAGAGCAAACAGGGCAGCCAGGAAGTGCATTCAAGTGCACTTGCAGAACTCACACATTACCTTCTCAGAATCGAGGGGAACAGAACCAGAGTAGAATTGCTGAGTGGAAGGAGATGCCCATTTTCAGCTTTGCCAGAAATTGGCAAACTGCTCTTCAAAGTGGAGGGACCGACACATTTGCCATCCCACTGCTAGTGCATGTGACCTCCTGTTTTCCCACATCCTCACCATTTGGTGGGATGGGACCTTTTCATATTTGCCATGGTCACAGCTGAGATGTGATAATGCACTCTTGGCTTTGTTTGCATTTTGCTGATTCCCTGAGAGGTTAAGCACATGCTGCCACATTTGGATCAGGGAGTGCAACTTACTGTGACATAATCGGTACATTGGCCTGAGGTGGGCCGTGTGATATGGTGCTGTCATGCCAATCGATCATCGTCATTGATCCCGTGGTATCACGATCTCGGA